GCGTGAGTTTCAGATGACATATACGCTATAAAAATAGCTGTTATCCCTTGAAAGTGAATAAAATAACAAATAAAACAAAAGAAAAATTGTTAAAACATTTTATTTATACAAATATATATATATTTGTTTTGTTGTTTTACTTGCGAAAGAAAACTCGTCGTCAAAGTCGTCGCTAAAAAATAGCGGAAATATATTTTTGTTTCTTATTTCTGTAGGAATTCTTATATTTATATATTATAATAATAAAAACAAAACATTGAACCGAAAAAAATAGTCAGACAATAATTGATAAGCCAAATGTGGAAACGGTATGTATTTATAAATAAATAAATATGCATATAATATAGTATTGTATATAAAGCAAACAATCGATCACCAGCTAAATGGATGATCTGGATATACGTTTGATATAACGTACCCATGTTTTGGGTATATTATTGTATATCGTGTGTCGGGTCACTACTACTTTATTAATGATTTTTTTCGGTGTTTATGTTGTATTTATTTACGAACTTAGTCTTCAAAAACATTATTTGTTATGTAATAGATATATAATAATAATATATATATATATATATATATACCGTATAGTACTGTATATATTGATATATTATACATAAGTGTGTTGACAATACATTGTTAGACCACTATATCCTTGAAAGAAAATTCCTATCTATTCTTTTGTAAATTGTTTTTGAAAAAATATCAATTAATAACTTTATATTTGCTTCGAGAGAGAGAGAGAGAGAGAGAGAGAGAGAGAGAGAGAGAGAGAGAGAGAGAGAGAGAGAGAGAGAGAGAGAGAGAGAGAGAGAGAGAGATGATAAGTGCTAAAACAAATTAATTCAAAAATACCTAATAATTTTTTTTTTGAGAGAGAGAGCAAACACAAAATCAAGACTCACAATAAAGTTCACTGAGACTGGAGATACCATGAGATTTTGGCCACAAATATTGTGATTAATTACTGTGTCGTTCCTCTCAATACTACAACAAAAATACTTATAGCTTTCCTCAGGAAATCCAAATAGAAATCATGTTTTTGTTTTATGTTAGATATGAATGATCTTTAGAAATGAAATGCAAATAACAATTTATGCCAAATAGGTCTCTCACTGTATATAATAATATTATTATACAGTAGTAGTAGTAGTAAATCATTGATACAAATAAATAATGAGATGAGTAGTAAAGTAAAAATTTGTTTCTATTTAAATACAGTTTGCTTTGAAAATTAATTTTATTTAATTTAATTTTAATCTGATTATAATCCTCTGGAATGGCATCTTTTTTTTGGTACTCAAATGGACTAAATTTTTATAATAAAAAATGTTGATATATTTAAAACATGCTATTAATAAAATGAAACTATCATTTCCCATTAATTAACCAAATTATTTGATAATACATTATATAATATTACTTATAGTATCATACATAATAAAAATAGTCACATAGATTTAAATTGTTGACTTTATATATTTAAAAAATAATAATTATTCAAGAAAGCTATTTTAAGTAATACTAATCCAAACATAAGTATAATATTGAAATATTAATTTGATTTTTCGGATTATACTTATATGATATAAGTTATATCTATTACTTTCAATTCATAATTATCATATTAATAATGCAAATAATAATTCAAGTTACCATTTTAACTGTTAATATATATAACTTATTTTTGGAAGAAATTATAAATAATCTAAATTAAAGACAAATTAAAACAATAAAATTTATTTTTTTGATTATATAAGAGAAATTGAGAAATGAATTAATAGGAGATTATTCACTATTTCTATAAAAATAACAAATAATCAAAAAAAGAAAACAAAGAGAACTAAAACTTATGAGTGAAACGCCTTTTGAATTATCAATTGATATAAAAAGCGTTAATTTAGTAGAGAGAGAGATAGAGAGAGAGAGAGAGAGAGAGAGAGAGAGAGAGAGAGAGAGAGAGAGAGGTTGGGATAGCTTTTCGGGCATTTCTTTATTATTGTTGGCAACAAATCCCAAACCCAACTTAATTAACACATTAAACATTTGCTTTTTAAAAAATTTTTGCTTTTGTTGTGCTATTAGTTATTTGCGAAAAGTGGTTGTCTTTGTGTTTTAGGACTACCCGGTGCTCATACTGTATATTACTTATACGTACTGTTTATATGATAACTTGTACGGTATTATAAATATAAGTTTACATACACTGATGTATAATATGTATGCTCTGGTGAATGACTCCTCTCCTAACATAAAAGTAATCCCTAAATGCTTTTAATGAAAAAATAACAAATATTTGATTTTTTATATAAAAAATATATTTAATGAATTGTTAGATATTATTATTAGTATGAAATCGATTGCTAAAAACCCGAGTGATTGGAGGGAGGATTTCATTTAATATATTTATATATAGAATATACAGTCGATTACAGTATACACTGTATACTATACACAATAAAATACATTTTTATTTTATTTGTGATTTTTATAAATTACAAAACTTCTCACTAAAACAATTAATAATTACAACAACTGTATAGAGAGTTCCCATTAAAAGCTTAACCCAAAATAACTGGATTTTGTTGTATAGATATTAATTAAAAGTTTAGCACAAATTATAATTAAAATGTTAATTAAATAAACATATTATATTTTGTATCAAATCATGCGAAATAAACAAAACAGTAATTTTAATAATAATTTTTTAACAAAAAATAAAAATAATAATAATAATAAATAGTGTACAAATCATCGGAATAGGGAGTTATCATATAGTATATTAAATTAACTATTTATAATTTTTGTGCAAAATTTGCTAATTTTTTAGGTTAGCACACATAAAAAGTGTTAATGATTCAAATATTGATGCATAATAAAAATTAAATTTTATATTAAAAATTTCTGTACCGTTATTATGAGTTTTGTACATAAAACTGTAAATTAGTAAATTTAAATAATAAAATTGAAAATATTAAATAAATAATGTTATAATAATTTGCAATTTAATTAATAGGAAATTAACGAATATATTAATATATTTATTTCTTGCAAACTTTTTATAACCATATTTAATAGACATTGTATAGTATGATATTTTTCAATGAATATTCAATTGCAACATAATAAAATAAAATAATTATTATGATAATAATATGTTAATTATTTAAATATTGTAGTTTAAAATTTATTATGTAAATTTAAAATGTAAAAGTATCAAACAATAAAATCTAGTAAATCATGATAACTGAAAATTAATTTTCTAGTTATTTGACAATAATTTTATTTAATAATAATAATAATAATTTTTTCTAAAATTCTTTTGCTTTTTTGGCCTCAAATTCTATATAACAGTAATACAAGAATAAAGTCATTGAATTCATTCAACTTTTAATCCATTGATGAAAACATTTGTCTCTTTCAGTGATCAAAAAATAAAACAAGAATACTGTATATAATATATATTGTTTTGTTGCATATATTTATCAGTTCGTGATATTCAATGTAACAAAACTTATTTTTATTATTATTATATTTTAAATACATTTTATTTGATAAAAACTGTCTGAATCTCCTTTCATTGCTATTTTTCTTGACTCTCGCGATTTGAATTGCGATAAAAATAAATGTCTGAATGGGCTTTGATTTCCTGATTAGTGTTCACAAAAAAATTAATGTAAAACAAAATACTTTCAATTTTTTTTAGTGTTAAAAACAGATAAATCATAGAAAAAACTATTATTTTTATTAATATGAATTAAATAAAATGCTTATACGGTTTATAAAAAGATACTCATTTATTATTATAAATATTTAATAAAATAAATGCTTATTTAAGAAATAGGAATTACATCTATTTTTGAATATATTTTAATAAATTTAAAGAGAGGCACATAAATATATATTTTATAATTTTTTTTATAATACACACATTATAAATTATAATGTACAGTATACTATATTTATAGTATATTACATCAATAATTAATATAACACATAATAACTAAAGTAAATAAACTACATGCAACAAATTTAATTACAATACTGTTTCTTATATTTATTTATTGTAAAAAAATGTTTATTTTAAAATGTGCAAATAATATTAAATCATTGATTTAATTACATATAAGGCACTTATATAATAATAATAATTAAGCCAGTTCAATTTACGCAATCAATGCATAACTAAATCTGTATTTAACAAATAAGAATATAAATTATTTGTTTTTTAAAGACCCACTAATTGTAACAATTATGTTAAGTTTAATAATAAATTATTAAATATATTTTTCACTTCATATATATATCTATATATTTTGATGGTCAGTCATGATTAAAATGGTCAACAACAGTATTAGCCTCTTTTTAAAATAAGTATTAAACAAACAATTATCTAATTGATAATTCATTAAATGTTCATATAATGGTATTTCATGTCATTACAATATTTCATTTTAAATGTTTTAAGTTTAAGTTATGTATAAATATCGCGTTTTGAATGTTAATGGCTTGTTTAAACTTATAAATACAAATTAAATTACAATTGATAAACACTATTAAAATATTTTTAATTACCATAAGTTTATATTGTCCTAAGTTAACTTTATTTAATCTCATTTAATATAAAAATGTTAAAATAAAAATACACAATACAACAAAGTTATGAAAAATATAAATTATTAGTTCATCATAACTTGTAAAAACTCAAATTATATACTTTTAAAAAAATTATAGTTAACTATGGACGGTATAATTTTATATAAAACTCATATGGCATTATTTTTTTTATAAAATTTCAGCATTGATAAACATTCATTGGCAATCATTTTGATTGTTAAATATTAAATATAAATATATATATATATATACGTATAATTTATATATATACATATAATAAATGCAAAATTAAAAGTGAATTTTTATAATTGTATATAAAACAAATATATAATTGCATTAAAGCATGAAAATTGTAAATAAAAAAAATTAATTTAAAACTAAGTATTAAAATTAAAAAGTTTTAAGAGATATGTAATTATAGAATTTGACATTTTTTCTTAGACTTTTGGTTCTTAATTGGTCTGATCGGTGGGCGCTCTAATTGTTGGAATTTTCTGTAATAATTTAATAGACATTTTTTAAAGTTAATTAATCTTATTATTATTATTATTAACAAAATATCAATTGTATTGTATATATATATATATACTGAGCTCATACCTAACGAGTCTAACCAAGTCATGGAAGGCTACGTCGACATTCATCCTTAACTTAGCGCTACACTCGAGGTATGGAATCTTCAGCATTTGGCCCAATTGTTGGACTTCTGATTGCGATATCTTTTAGAAGAAACAACAAAACAAAATCTTTTTAATTAGTCATTCATTATTACCATTAAATCAATGGATAAGACATACGACTCGTTGATGTTCGAGATCACACTTATTTGCCACTAATATCATTGGAAACTCATCGCGATCTTTGACCCGAAGTATCTGTTTGTGAAACTTATAGATCTCTTCATAACTGTTCCGATCGGTCAATGAAAAGACTAATAAAAATCCTTCTCCGGATCGCATGTATTGCTCTCTCATTGCACTAAAATTGTAGTAAAAATAATCAATTAAAATGTTTGTCCAAAAAAAATAAATAGTTATAAGAAATACCTGAACTCTTCCTGACCGGCCGTATCCAAAACTAAGTCATACATAACATAATAAACATATATTATTGTTAATATTAATTAATTAGTAAACATAAAAACTAAATATAATAAAACTACAGTATATTTAAGAGTTAAATCTAATTTATAATTAATATTACAAATATCTACTTGTGTTTAATTAAGATAACTGTTGATCATTTTAATTTGCAATTTTAATTTAGTTAAGTCGATAAATATTTAAGATAGAAATCCTCAGTAAATAATAATAACATATTTTATACGATATGTCATTTGATAGCAAATTATATTAATAATTAGTGGCTAACCTCTCATGTTATTTATAATATGATCTCTGTATATAACTATATATAAATTATAATAACTCCTTATATAATAATTAAAATAAAATTTTATTATGACGATAAATTATCATTGATAATTTTGACAAACTACTATATTTCCTAATAAAACTATATATATATTTTTGTATATATTGCACTACACATCATATATTATTAATAAACAGTATATACCGGTACAATGTAATAAATATTTGAAACATTTCAGTAAAGGGTTAATCAGTAAAAGTTATGTTTTATAAACAATCAAAACATGAAAGACACTAACTGTCCAATCGGGCGACAACATCATCGATGACACATTGTTTGGTATACGAGTCCTCTATAGTCGGGTCGTAATCAGTGACGAAATATGACTAAGAAAAATGAAAAATTCATATCTATATAAATATATTGCATATAAATAGTAATCATTAATGACTTGTTTTACAAGTTTATCGCTTTTATTATAATAAGTCTATTAATTGCTAAATCTGATCATTGATATCATTAATGCAACTCATGTTAAATATGATACAATATATTAATTATCTGTTATATAAACCCTATGCGTTAACATTGAAATATAATTTATCAAATAATAATATTTTTATATTAATTATTGACATGTTATCTTAAAAACAGGTATTTAACAGATTTAGGTGTTTTGTTTTATTATTATTATTAAAAATCAATTACATTAATACAAAATAAATGTATTAATAATTTATCGTACATTAAAATGTATTATTAATGAAATATCTTAAAACAGTAGTAAACTATTACTTAGCAATTTTGTTCAACAAATAACACAATTAATCAATCAATTAGTCAAACGTAAAGTAAATAATAAATAAATCAATAGTTTTAAATGTAAAGTCATTGAATAAATTAACATATTTTTGTGGTTAATATTTTACAAACCAATGATTACCATTTATTTGTTATTATATAATATTATTAAAATAAATTAAAATGATTTTAAAAATCAATTACTTGTATGAATTGTATGGTAAGTGCAGACTTGCCGACACCGCCGCCGCCGACGACCACCAACTAAACAGTTGATCAATAAAATGATACACAAATCATATAAATTAATTAATTAATTGTTTTTTCACTTACTTTATATGTTTGGCTAAAGTTTTGATTTTCGTGATTATTACGGGACATGTCTCTGGTTTTGGTCATCCTATCCGATCGATTGGACACAAATTGATAACAATTTTTTTATTATAAATCTTTTCCTATAACTAACTATATCTATGTATATATGATATATATATCGATAAAGACAATGATTTTCAATAATAATAACAAAATTTTTAATCACTTTTTTTTATTGAACACTAAAAATTAATTATTAATCAAAAATTAGTGATACAATTATATTGTCACTACAATTAATGGACGATTAGTTAGTTTTTTAAAAAAATAACAATTTATGAGTCAAATCATGAAATAAATAACAAAAAACATTATCACAAAAAATTACAGTGAATTTTGTTGGGAATATAATATGATTAATAGTGATGTCAATTGTTTATATTAGTTATAAAACATTTAATACATTATTATTATTATTATTATTATAAGGATTCATACAATCAATACAATCAACAATAGGTTTTCAACGCTTTTATTTTGATTTGACACTTGTTTTCAATGTTAGCACTGATTTCATAACAAAACAGATTAACCAAACATTTAATGCCTGTTCTCTATCTCTATATATATATCTCTTTAATTGTTTAACAGTTAATATGGATTAGTATTATTCAAGTGAGACATCCATTCAAATACAATGTTTGTGTTTAACGATAGTAACAGACAAGTGATCGACAAAAGAGATTATCTGTTGTCTTATTTTTTCAGTGTAGAGATGTTCGCCGGTTAGTGAACAACACCTATCAATACTGTATATATACTGTACGGTACAGACAGTCAGTGTATAGACTATAGTATAGTATATAAATGCAGTGCACTGTTATGTCAAGTCTACACTTTCAAGACTTCAAAGTTTATACAATACTCTCTCTTATATTTGGCTTTTTTCGCTCTCTCTCTCTCTCCTCTCTCCTCTCTCTCTCTCAAAATATATTTGTAGACAATATTTATGTATTAAAAATAATGTTGCATTGAATATACAGTAGGAACATATATATATTGTACAGTATGTTATAAAACGTTGGCCACCAATGGGTATTAAATACTGTATATTATTAATAATAAGTTGACAACTGTGGCCTTGAATTGTGCAAAAAAAAATGTTGAGCCCTAAAAAGTGACTGACCCTACATACACATCATATACACAAATACAATGTCACTATTTTACAATATATAGTAGAACTGTATATAAATTTACATATATAGAAATATTATATAGAAATTTATTTTGTTTAGTAGCCCAGTGTGACTATAAATCAAATATGACCCAGGTCATGGGCTAATAAAGTGATCCTATACTGTATAAAAACTATACTGTATTTTGAAATATGTATTATGTACTACCTGTACATCTATACACTATAAATACATTTTGAAATTTACATAGTATAAATTTTTTTAAAGATCATATTAAAATTTATTTAAAACATTATTTTAAAAATAAAATTTATTTAAAAAATATATATATATTATATATATGCAAAAATATATGCTTTTAATACTATTTGAATATTTGATTAAATAGACAAAAATATCATTGAAAGCATTTTATAATATTTGCATTTAAACGAATTACAGTGAAGTGACTTAATATAATTTTCAATAGACTGTATATATTGTAAAGCCATATGAAAGCAAAATCTTTTTATTTTAAAAATCAAGTATTTTATTTATATTACTTTATTAACAGTGATTTTTTGTGTGTTATATATACAGTATATTAAATTTTTTATGAAATTCACTGATTTTTTTTATCTGTAAATTTGTTGTTTTCAAACATTTAAATTAAAAATATGTTGATTGTATACATACACTGTACTACTGTTTGTTTTTTATTTATTGAATTATTGAAATACCTTATACTGTATAATATATTTTAGTATAACATTGTAGTAAAGGCTTAAGTAGAATTGATGCCATATATTGTACTGTATTTTAATCAATTGATAAATTTTATATATTATTAAAAATTATATTTATGATTTAAATATTTTATCTATTTTAAACAAACCTAGTTTTTTTAAATTAGAATTTAATATAAATTGACCAGTTTTTTATTTTTATATATATTTCATAAATAAGTTACTATTTTTAAATTAAATAAAATTTTTATGAATTAATTAATTAAAATTATTTTACTTGACTTTTATAATCTTTAACACAATATTTAATAAAATTTTGACATTATATTTGAATGTTTACATTGATATTATAAATAATATTAAAAATATTATTAACAAAAATAAATTTTAAAACATATTTTACTGTATTTTAATTTTCGTTTAATATTTAATAGAATAACTGTTGATATTTATCATGGTTAAATATTTTAATAACATCAAAATAATTTAAAAATTATATTTATAATTAAATTTAATAATTAAATTTATTTAAAAATTCTTTACTAAACATCTTCAAATTTTTTACTAAATATATAAAATTAAAATTATTTGAATGTTATTTAAATATTTATTAGCATTAATAATATAATCAAATAACAATTTCATTCATTTATATGAATAATTAATAACAAAAATTATAAATATTAATAATATAAACTATTGATTCACATTTATGACCGATACTCTGATCACTGAGAGGACAGTAGTTTCAGTATTTTTATTCACAGTTATTCACTGACTGTACGACTAAATAGTGAAATATATTTTTTGTTATTCACGACATAAAAGTTAAATAATTTGTTTAATGATAAGGGATTAAAAGTATAGTTTGTATCTACTGTATAGTATTTGTATCTATAATATTAGTTAATCCTTTAACATACTCGAATGACATTATAAATTTAATTAAGTTTTTATTAAATAAATAATTTACATGAAACAAACTATAAACTAACAAAATATATTTTATATATTAATATTTACAAAATACCAGTTTTATCTATGGTTTGTAACCTATCACACGGGTATTGCAAGTTATATATTAAAAAACAATTATTAATATTTTTTTATTAAAAATCAAATTATTTATTATTTTAAATATATTATAGATTGATGGCTAATTTATTGTCATAAATAAAAAATGTGTTTAATATTTATTTAGTTTTAACCACAAGAATCAGTCACTAGAGTATCGATCGTTATGTGTTGGAAATTGAATTAAATTTTTGTTTCTTAACATTTAAACACAAATATAATGATTTAATAAATTGAAAATTAAATTTCAATGTATTTTTGATTTAATTTTTGAATACATGTAAAATTAGTTACATTAAATTTTTTGTGTCTTATAACAACATTTATTGTGTAGTCGTATAATAATATAATATAATAATTAATTATAAATTATATTAATGTGTAATATTTAAATTTTTGTAACATTATGAACAATACAATTACTTACTATCTTTATTAAATATATATATATATATATATATTAAATTTTATAAAACATAAAATCTATTGTAAATATATATACAGATATAACTAAAAACAAATATCATTAAAGCGAAAGAGCATTAAAAACATTGAAAGTAAATAAAAAGTAAAGTAATTGAAAACTTTTCAAACACTAAAAAAATTTCTAATAACTCTAAAATAAATAATATACAAAAAATGTCTATATATTTACTATAATACTAATAAACAACTATAAACAATTTAATTTAAAAATACTATAATATTAGATTTGTTTAACCAGATTTAAGTGAAAGATTGATAACATTTTTCAAATTCAATTATTATATATATCTAAATTATTAGCAAAATAAATGCGAGCACTAATGAACACAATATTTTAATTTTAAGACAAATGTTGATTAAAATATTTTTTGGCATAAAAGTTTTTATAATTATAATATTTAAATACAAATTGTCATTTAAAATTTTTGGTCATAATTTATAATAATATTAAAAATTTTTACATATAATAATAATAATAATAAAATTAATTATATATATATATTTATAAATGACTTAAACTGTGCATTTGGCACAATAGTATATATAATGTGTGAGCATATAGTGTATATGGTTGTACGTTATGTGTATTATTGGCATTAAATTAACATTTAGACTAAACAACAAATTATTGTCGAGTACTGTAATATCGTATACATAAATACTGTATATATAATATACTGTATACACACTGTAATGATATTTTAAGAAAAATAATTGTATTTTTCAGTTTGAAAAGTACTGAAGTGACCGACGACTGGACGGATAGTATGTGTTTTAAATGTTAGTCTCATCGATCGTCTCGGATAACTGGGTAATGATATTAAAAAAAGTAGAATCCATTTGGTTTTCAATCAAAAACACTTATCGGTTATTAAAAAATTATATAACAATAATATTTTTGTTTTTTATACATTTCCGTTAAGTAGTTTACTAGTTTTGGTCAGTCTAGTACCTACTGAGGTCTCTCTATCGGCTCGGATATCGGCTCTCAGTTGTAACGTCCGCCGGGAGTTTGAATTACAGACAATCACTTTATGGAAAGCTTTGCGAAAGTTTTCCGATAGAAACGCGTATCTGTTTTGTATATATTTATAATAAATATACAAAAAAAATATTGACAAAAATGCATTAGAAATCAAAATAAAATTATTATATACAGTATATATTATTTAATAATAAAATAGAGAGTAGAGAAACGTGTGTTACTAACAAAAATACAGAATATACTGTCTATATATTTAGTAGTATATAATATTATGTCATATTAAAGTAAATATAAAATATTATATATGATATTATACTACTATACATTATGTCATGTTTATCAATATCACGAATATTAGTTATATATAATACATGATATCGCAAATGGCATTACAATTGATACCAAATGAGACTTTCATGGCTCTGAAGGATTAAAAAAAATTTGGTCAACATTTGCTATAATCTGATATATAATATACTATACTTTTTTAAGATCAACACACGTTTTGATACTCATTTATTTTTTATATACAATAATAATAATAAAAAAAAATGTTGATTACTTACAGTATAGGATTCACACAACTGTTCATATAAGCTGTAAATAATAAAGTAAATAAATTTATTAATTATTAATTTTGACAGTGATTTATTTTTTCTAAGCCTAATATATATTAAGTGTGATTAAATCAACATGATAAACAAAATATATATATATAAATATATGTATATTAGAATATATATATATATAATTGTTAATTATAAATGTAAAAATATGTACAAATAATTTGTTTCAGTCAAAATTTTTATTAGTTACTATACTGTAGTATAATAATTACATTTGCTTTATAAGGGTTTTATTTTGTTAGTAAAACCATTTATTATTTAATAAGTCTCTTGATATATATTAAGGATGCAAATAAAATATTTAAAAAAAACTAGAAAAATTTAGGCAAAAGTTTAAATTGTCAAAAAAATATGCAAATGAATTCAACAAACTTTATAATAATATAAAAACAAATTTGCATTTCATATATGTATTGCTAAGGAAATGCATATTTTTGCAAAAAAATAAGATATATTTGTCAGCACTCATCATTTAAATGTTATGTTTTAAATAAAATGTTATCTCAGAAAGTTATATAATATGTATAATTTTCATACAATTTTTGTGCTACAAATTTTAAAGTCATAATAATAATTTTTATTTTTACTAAAATAAAAGTGTTGTAAAAGTTATTAAGCAGTGTGTGTGTGTGTTTGTATGTGTTTGTATGTGTGCTAAATTAGTTTTATACTATAATTTGTTTAACTTTAATAAAATAATTTTTAGCATCACTATAATAGTAATAAAATGCTTATAATATTGTACTTAAACTTTAGTACTTAAGAGATTATAAGCATATTTTATATCTTTCATCACTAATGTAGATATTTTCATTAATCATAATATAATATTTATATAATATGATTTGAATTTATGTGAAATATAATTACAAATTATTTTTATTCAATATACTACATAAAAATAAAAATAATATATTTTATGACTCATATAAATGTATTATCATTACAATTCTAATTTATTTTTAGATGACATTTTTAATTTTATATTAACATATGAAAATAAATTAAATTAATGTCAATTATTTTAGATACAAAACAGTTTATATTCATATCACTAACAATTAATAATTACTAATTTATATAGTAAATGCATATTAAATATATTAGGTTTCAAATTATAAATCATAAGTTTTTCATCTATTGTACAATATGTTTGTTACAATATAAAAATATTAATTCGTTCAAGCATTTAGTTTATTTATGAAAATCACTTTTTTTACATATATTTATACAGACAGACAGACAGGAATTAATAATACTTATTATAATAATGTATAAAAAATTATTATCACTGAATGACTTAATTTAGATTAAGTTTAATTAGTTTAAAAATTAACTACAATGTTATACAATATGTAGAGTTGGAGTAAATTTCCATAAAAAAGGAAAGTTGCAAAATTAATGTATTTCAATTTCCTCGTAAAATAATGAAAATATTTTATTTTCATCCAATAAACCATTAAAGAGAAAAAATACAAAAAATAACTATAAATAAAATACTAAGTTTACATTTTATTAAAACATTTAAAAATAAATATAAATTCAATAAATTGACTAATAATTTTCAGCAATATCACTTAATATACAATTAACATATAACATGTGTTTTTCATACATTATGATAAAATGTGAGGTTTAGGGTTGAATAGCTTATATTGTGGAGTAACGGGAATACTATGGAATATTTAAAAAATAAAATTAAAAGAAAATTTGTTTAAACTCTCTAAACTCTAGTTGTATTTTAAGACTACTTTAATGATATTAAAAATTTTTAATTAAATATTTTAATAATTTACCTAATACTACTCTGTGATAAAGTGTGAATAATATATTTCAAATTTGTTTAATTATTATGATATAAATAATATATTAAATCAAATAAATATTAATATCTTTTTAACAAAATAAATTATATTTAAGTAAGTATATATATTTTTATAAATACACTAAAAGTAACCAAAAGTACTATTAGATAATTATTTATAATATATAATATCTAAATTATAACCTAAAAACATTCTGTACTATATATGTTTTAAAAAAGTGAAACCCTTTATATTTTTTTTATAATAGCATTAAATTTTCAAAATATTTTTTATTAATACTTCAATTTTTATATTTAAGTAATAATACCCAGATGTGAATGTCACTAAAATCTATAAAAATTAAACTATTTTTATAAAATGCTTTTTTGAAAAAGAAATTGTTTTTTCTACACAAAAAAACTTAATTTCATTAAAAATGAATATTATTTATAATTTTTTATTTAAAAAAACCATATGTATTATAACAAATTTTACATAATTTTGACTAAAATATAAATTTGTTATTAAATTATGAAATTTTAAATAGATATTAGTTAACAAAAATTTTTGTTTTTTAATTTTTAAATAACAATTTAATTGACAACTTACTTATATATAAAAATTAAATTATATAATATATTTTAGAAATATATTTTATTTAGTTTTATCTATAAATATTATATCATACATGAAAATACCACCAGTTAGGTATATTATTTTGCTATAATATTGATTGGTGTTGAATTAGGATTAGACAAACTTTAGTTAACAATATACAAAATTATAATTTAGTTAAATATTTGTGAAATTTATCATTAAACCAAAAATTTGTAAATAATTTTTTTTTATCTAATTAAGTTCTAATATCAAATTTAATTTAAATTTAATAATTATAACTTTATAAGTTTACGTTTATACAAATTTGATCATTTATATAAAATAATATTTCATTTTTAAAAAATCAGATCTATTTATATAACATTATCAAAATGAATAAAATGCATTTTACTAATAATATATTTTAAGTATTTCGATACAATGTAAATGTATTTTATTTGTATTTATTGATAGTACTATATTTTAGTGTATTTTATTATATATATAAGATATAAACTCTAATTTAGTTGTAGAATATTCTTTAATATAAAAAATATTTTTTAAACTAAGAGTATTTTCAATCTGCTTTTAAAAAAAACTATTTGTTAAGAATATAAAACATTTTAGTGAATCTCTTGAGATATATTTCAATAGCAGATTTCAATACCAAACAAATGCATTTGTTTATATATGTATAGTAGTTGTTAATATATAATGAATGAGTTAAATATTATTATGAATAACATATAAAAGTACAGTAAAAGTATAAAATATATACTATTAAATACAACTGTAAAAAAAGTTTAATAAAAAATAAGTTACTATAAAACTTTGTAATTAACAAGTCTTGTTTTATTTTTTTATAAAAATATATACTAGTATAGATTTTTTGGTTTAATTTAAGTATATTGAAAATTAAAATAAAAAAAATGATTAATTATATTAATTAATAATAAATATTTAATGAGTATTTAGATAAGATAATACTAAAAATGTCCGACTAGTTTTTAAAATTATATTTGAGTTTAATATTTTATTTTATTTTATTATCTCAATTATTATTAATTATTAAAATTATAAAAATAGTTATTAAACTTTTGTTATTAAAAAATTATTGTATGGAAATTTAAATATTATTAAAAGTTATAAATGAAATTATATAAATATAGTCTAAAGTCTAGACAATTGTCTATACACACTTTAAACACTAAATAATAAAAATTTTTATATCTGTTAATTTGTAATATTAAATCTATATTAAATTAAATAACACTGATATCTATCTATCGATAGTATCACTGTTTTGTACATTGATTAAGTTAGTGACAAACTAATATCTATTTCAAAAATCTAGTTTTGATTAAATTTAGTTTTTTTTGTAAATACATTTTTATAAAAACATGAGATGTTCTTCAAGTCCACAAAAGGGAATAAAATGACACAAAAATAGTTTTTAAAATAATGATATATATATTTATATAGTTATTTATATAGGAGTAACTCGTATTATGATTCACATCATTTTTTTGGGTTTACAATCGCTTAGGAATAACATCACAGTTATTATATTGAACTCATCACTACTGTAAATATACTATTAGTTTGACTAACAGTGTGATTGAAAGAAAATTTTTATTATTTTTTATTTATACTGTATACTAGTATATATATATATAAATCGGATGACTTAAAGAAAAAAGTCAAAAACTACGGATCACTAAATATTTAGGATTAGATGTGATGTCAAATTTAATATTTAAAATTCACTACTTCTAGTAAATTATTGTTTATTTTTTAGTATATGTGCATAGCGTTGATAACAAATATTTTAGAAATAAAAAAAAGTGATACTTTTTTATATAAAATTAATAATAGAAAAGCTATACCTAAAATGTGTGCCGCAATCTGTATGACCAGATTTTTTCTATTGAGAGTGTATCGATCAAAACTTTTGAGCACAAGTACCACCTGTATTGGACACCAACAAACAGCAAATATAATGACCACAACAACGATCATACGGGTAACACGTTTCTTAGAGCGCACACTTTCGGCGCTCATGTGACCGCCGGGAACGGCACCAAACCAGAGACGCTTTAGCATCAGTACGTATAGTATAAGGATTATAGCAATAGGTATGACATATGACGATAGAAAAAAACAGATTTGATATAATGACTGATTATATTCTTCAGCAAACAGACAGACAGTATATTTATCGCCAATCAGTCTATGACTTATGAGCGCCGGTATGCAGGCAATGATTATTGTGATCCATGTGAAGAATATGGCTAAATAGGCATTCCTTTCCGTTCTGATGGACATCGATTGGATCGGATGAGCAACAGCTAAATATCTGTCCAAAGACATCAACACCAGCTGTCAAAATAAAACGGATAATTCAATTAAAACACATTTCGTTTGACACACTAATGCCTCTCATAAAAGTTAATTGAATTAATTTAATACTTGTCTGATATTTTTATATAAAAACAAGAAAATATTTTCACAAACTGTGCTTAAAATTAAAGCTTATATTACTGTATGTATGAAATAATTAGTAAACAAACAAATAAATAAATTATTTAATGCAAAAATTTGTTATTTAAATTTTCAGTAATTAGTAAAAACACACAAATTATTGTATAATTTGGGCAAAACATTAAAATAAAAGTAATTATTATATTAAATAATAAAATGTTAACATACAGTGTATATACTAGCGTAGGCACAAACCACAATCAGATACTGAACCATTTTGCACCATAGGTTGCCAAATGGCCAAAATGGAAAGGCATAATCCCAGGCCGTAAATGGTACGCAAAACACAATAAATAATAGGTCAGCGATGGCTAAATTGATTATCAATAAATTGGTTGTCGACCGCATCTGTGGATTGAAGGCCACGACAATGACTACCAATGCGTTACCAAACAGTCCGACGATTACAATAATGCCAAACAAAATGGGAACAACAATACTGGTTACTTTTGCCATGGCTTCAATAGTATCAGATATATCATTGTCAACACTGGGATCATCTTCAAACATATTTAGTAAACTTGTATTACATAACGATAGATTCACAATGTTATCCCCGTTAATATTGGCGCTTAAATTTTGACAATATTTATATAAACTTTCCATTGGTGTCTCTTCCATACCGGAAAATATCTTATCACCAGTGAATGGTATATCAGTTTCGGAAAATTTCAATTTATTTAAATCTGATTCATCCATGTTTTCAATCATTTCTATTAAAAATAAAAAACAATTTCATAAATTAAATTTGATATATATTTGTTATATATTTCTAAATCAAAATAATATATTTCTATAATCTATATATAAAAATATATATAAATATATAAAACAAAAATCTAGTTTATAGCAATTTTTTTATTGATTTATAATTTTTTCAAGTGTTTTCCTAATAATGTAGAGTTTTATTTAAGAGAAATAATATTTTATTTTATTTTTTAAGTGATAAAAACTACTAAAACTATTTCTTAAATCTGTCTTAAGTTTAAACCAACTGAAAATAGTATAATACAAAAATGTACAAATAATAAGCAATTTTTTCACTTAAAAATTTATTATTATACAGTAGTTTACACTTTACAACATCTGTATAATTTATATCTCAATCTATGATATTAAAAGTTTTAAAAATATTTACTCTAAAAACATTAAAATTTAAAATGTACTAAATATACAATCAAATTAACAATAATATATTATCAAATAATATTTATTATGTGTAATATCTATATTAGTTTATAATTTTATTTTTTACATTAAAAATTAATCTAACACAGTTTATACTTTATAAAAAACATTATAACTTATATAATAAAGCTTAAAATAAAACTGAAAGATTATAAATCTTAAAGTATATAAGTAGTATACATAGGGCTATACCCGGGATGTTACGTAATAACAGTACACGTAATAATTAATGTTTCTATAAAATAAACAGATTACGTAATATATTTACATAAATATTACTTTCACTATCTACATTAGTGATCATGCGTAGTATGAACCACTATCGAACCATGTTCTTCATTTACTGTTCTACTTTTTATTTTTAATTTTTATTTATGTTTTGCTATCATCATCTTTGGTTTGGTTTTGGTTTACCTTATGCTTTTGCCTTAAGTTTTGATTAAGTATTAGTATTATGTTTAAACTTTATTTTAGATTTTCCTTTTTGATTTCTGTTTATAGTGTTATGCTCTTGTTTGTATTTTGTTAGTTTTTTAGTTTTATGTTTACTACATTAACGTTTTATTATCATTAGAGTTTATATAGTTGGAGGTGTTCTTTTTAGTATTCGTTTTTAGAGTTTCAATTATGGCTAAGAATTTATTGAGTTTAACGTTTGATCAGTTCTGGGGTTTAGGTAACCCGTATTATGAGGATAATTTCGTCGAGTATTTTGAGAAATGGAGATGTCAAAATCAAAAACATTTCTCAAAAGAGGTGTTTGATAAATGGAATGGTTTATCCATTAAATATCTCCAGTGGTTCGAGACAAGTTTTGGAAGTCTTGGTAATGGGGTTATAGTTTTATCTTCGGTGAAAGATCAACAGAAGCCTCAATTTCATTTCAGGTCATTGAAAGGTAAAAAGAAATATGAGCGCACATCTGTCGGCATAACTTATTTTAATAAGGATTTTTATGCTGTATCTATACTCATACCAGCACATAGTACTGAGGATGAGTTTGCGACCACTTTTCTACACGAGTTGTGTCATGTGTGGCATTTTGTAACGAATGATCGGCAAAAGTGTGAGGACGGTCATGACGTCTTTTTTATGGTTGCGCTAAGAGATGCCTTTCAACAGTACAAGAAAGATTTTAATAAGGAATTAAAAGATGACTGTTGCGGTCCAGACTTTGATGCCTTTAAAGCAAAAGCATCAAAAAAGCTTAAAATTGAGCCATCAACAACAAACAGTCCTATAAAACGCCATTTTGACGACTTTGACACAAAGCGTCAAAATTTTATGAAAAATAAAATTGATGCTTTAAAAGCACAACTGGCAGAGGCCGAAGAAGAATATTCGGCCTGGTACCCCAACGAGCCTCTGTCGAAGGATATCGCCATCCAAACAGAAGCTGACACCAAGTCAGCTTCTGTACAAGTATCGCCGGACACTAATGATACATCGTGTCAAATATCATTAGTTTCTTTTTCCTCTACTTCTGTACAAACAGAAGCTGGGCCCACATCTGTTGCAATAGGGGTGCAATATTATGCAAATCCCGACGACGACGACGATCTTCAGTTAGTGTTTGACAAAAGAAATAATAAATGTGTACAGACAAATTTCAGAAATTAAATTATTTGTAAAAAAAAAAAAAAAAAAAAAAAAAAAAAAAAAAAAAAAAAAAAAAAAAAAAATAAAAAATAAAAAATCCAAAAAAAGTATTTGTATATATATATATTTTGGGGTGAGTTTACACAACCTCCTCGCGGTTCACCCTGGGTAATGCCAATAGTGTAAAAATTAATTTTTTAGACAAATACATACACATACACATACATACATACACACTATTTTTAATAGCTCATGTAGCCGTACTATACTGGTATTAACTGGTTTTATTTGGTTTTTCATTTCAATAATTTATAATCTTTATAGCACTATTATTACTGTTGTTAAATGGAAATTTTGCAGCTTAAAACAAAATATTTCTATAAATAATTTATAATCCTTAGACAAACAAAAGACACAGTTCAAAAAGGTTAATAACCTACAAAACCAGTATTATTTTACCAGTTTATGGATAGGTATATAAAGAGATGCAAAAGAGAATGAGCTCTCAGTCTGTTTTTGGTATAAAGCAATTCACTTTAGTATTCACTAAAGAATAATTAATACAATGGCTAAATTTGCTCACCTTATGCTTTCAAAAGCTTTACTTCTCAACGAAAAAGATTTGGATGGCTATTTGTCTTACTGGAATACTATGTTCGACTCTAGAAATTTGCAAGAGTTTGGTATCAACTTTGTGATGGCAAAAAATAATGTAAGTATAAAATATTTAAAATTATTTATTAATTTTTATTTATTACTTTAATCTAATAAATAGGTTAGAGAATGGTTGACAGCAGCTGACGGACGAAATGGTGAATATTATATGAGTAATGGTCATATTATGTTTGCTCATTCTTTGGATTATTTGGCACCAAACTTTATCTTAAAAGATGAAAACGATATTTCTCGTTGGGGATTAACTATTTGTTTACCTAATAATAGTTTTTTAATTGTGTTGAATCCTTCAATGATTAGCAATTCTAGACAATTAATTTCAACACTTTTACATGAATATGTTCATGCTTCTCGGTATATTAATAGTAAATTAATTGTCAAAAATTATATTTAATACTATTATTTGTATTCACAGTCACGTTAAAAATTATAATTTAGAGTTGAGATGTGGTCACGATTTTGGATTTATGATGGACAGCGCTGAACTTCTTTATAATTGGAATAATGAAATCGCACCAAAATATGGTTTTGAGAAAGTGTTTTTTAAAAATGCTGGACCTCATATTTTGTATAGAGATAGACCCGTCCACAAAAAGTATTTTCTTAAATTATCTGGAGAGTCTACTGATGTCCATAAAATACAGCGCGTCTGGAAAGTAATCAATGATTTACGAGTAAAATGCATTGTTGATATGGGCAAATGTCTTGATATCATTGATGGCTATAAAATACTCATCGAATCGTGTAAAGATAATCAAGATTATGTTAATTTTTTTGAGTCTAAAATAGACATTTTAGATAAAAAATGTAATTTCATTGAAAAGAGAATGAATTATTTGTTTTGTTAAACAAATTTATTAAATAAAATTTTGAATTTATTTAAACAATACTTCTTTTATTTTATTTATTTAATAATATTTTTATTTTGTATTCAATTAAAAGATAATAATTTTTAAAATATATAAATTAACTTACTATATTTTTCTTTTCATATTATTTTAGTAATAAATATGTAAAAATTATATAATTAACTAATTATAATATTTAATGTTTTACGATTTGAGTGCTTAAAGCACACCTAGTAATCGATTCGAACATTAATATGTGTTTTTACGATTTGAGTGCTTACAGCACCCCTAGTGTTCGATTCGAACATTAATGTGTTTTTACGATTTGAGTGCTAACAGCACCCCTAGTGTTCGATTCGAACATTAATATGTGTTTTTACGATTTGAGTACTTACAGCACCTCTAGTGGTCGATTCGAGCACTAATATACGATTTTACGATTTGAGTGCTTACAGCACCTCTAGTGTTCGATTCGAACATTAATATGTGTTTATACGATTTGAGTGCTTACAGCACCCCTAGTGTTCGATTCGAACATTAATGTGTTTTTACGATTTGAGTGTTTACAGCGCCACTAGTGATCGATTCGAACATTAATATGTGTTTTTACGATTTGAGTGTTTACAGCGCCACTAGTGTTCGATTCGAACATTAATATGTTTTTACGATTTGAGTGCTTACAGCACCCCTAGTGTTCGATTCGAACATTAATATGTGTTTTTACGATTTGAGTGTTTACAGCACCTCTAATGTTCGATTTGAGCACTAGTATGTGATTTTACGATTTGAGTGCTTACAGCGCCCCTAGTGTTCGATTCGAACATTAATATGTGTTTTTACGATTTGAGTGTTTACAGCACCTCTAATGTTCGATTTGAGCACTAGTATGTGATTTTACGATTTGAGTGCTTACAGCACCCCTAGTGTTCGATTCAAACATTAATATGTGTTTTTACGATTTGAGTGCTTACAGCGCCCCTAGTGTTCGATTCGAACATTAATATGTGTTTTTACGATTTGAGTGTTTACAGCACCTCTAATGTTCGATTTGAGCACTAGTATGTGATTTTACGATTTGAGTGCTTACAGCACCCCCTAGTGTTCGATTCAAACATTAATATGTGTTTTTACGATTTGAGTGCTTACAGCGCCACTAGTGGTCGATTCGAGCACTAATATATGATTTTACGATTTGAGTGTTTTCAGCGCCACTAGTGGTCGATTCGAGCACTAATATATGATATTAAGATTTGAGTGTTTTCAGCGCCACTAGTTATCGATTCTAGCACTAATATATGATATTAAGATTTGAGTGTTTTCAGCGCC